ACACTTGGGAAAGCATGTTTTGGGTTTGTGCATGTCTCGTTTTCCCACGTTTGGATTGGCATACTGTCATACCATGGGCAGATATCAGGGTTTTTCACTAAAGTGAAAATTCTAAGTCAAATTCAAGTTCAAAATAGCTGAATTGGGGGATTAGCAGGGTGGGAGATGCAGTGCAACACAACAAATTAGAGTTTGGGGACAGGTCAACATTTAATGGTGCTCTGGGGGCCAAGTAACAGGTCCGGCTCACAGCGCAGACAGTCTAGCATCCTCAGAACCCAGGCTATATACATCATATCCACTGCCTGATTAATAACAGAGTTTAAACACTGAACTCTGGGGACGTTATTCCTCCTTTAATTGAGCCGTTTCTTGGCTACTAATTACTCCTCCCTGCCTGCTTGGTTATCTGATGCAATTTACCTGCAGCTTTGTGATGGAGACAATGTTTAGTGTTCGAGGTGTGTCTCTGCTTTGTGTTCACCTGATCAGACTGAGAAGCCGAGTGTTAGCAAAGAACTGAATTAAAGAAATGGCTCCTGCTGGCCCAGAGTCTGGGTTTCTAGCCATTCTGCTAGTGTGAGTTTAGTACCAGAGGATATAAAAGCAGTGATGTGAAAGAACCCAAATGGAAACCAACGAGACCTCGAGGAATCCTTCATTTTATCCCACAAGACCATCTACAGCTGGGGTAAGAACATTTACATTTATTAATACAAACTTTCTCTGATTCAGGGTAGGGGCTACATGGGATCATTGGATACTGAGTCCTGTAATCCTGGGGTACCCAGGATATGATAATACTGGGCCCTATAGCCCTGGGATCATATTATACTGGGCCCTATAGCCCTGGGATCATATTATACAGGGCCCTGTAATCCTGGGATCATATTATACTGGGCCCTATAGCCCTGGGATCATATTATACTCGGCCCTGTAATCCTGGGGTCATATTATACTGGGCCCTATAGCCCTGGGATCATATTGTACTGGGCCCTATAGCCCTGGGGTCACAAGTATAATATGATCCCAGGGCTATAGGGCCCAGTATAATATGATCCCAGGATTACAGGGCCCAGTATAATATGATCCCAGGGCCATAGGGCCCAGTATAATATGATCCCAGGATTACAGGGCCCAGTATAATATGATCCCAGGGCTATAGGGCCCAGTATAATATGATCCCAGGATTACAGGGCCCAGTATAATATGATCCCAGGGCTATAGGGCCCAGTATAATATGATCTCAGGGCTATAGGGCCCAGTATAATATGATCTCAGGGCTATAGGGCCCAGTATAATATGATCCCAGGATTACAGGGCCCAGTATAATATGATCCCAGGGCTATAGGGCCCAGTATAATATGATCCCTACAGGGATCATATTATACTGGGCCCTATAGCCCTGAGATCATATTATACTGGGCCCTATAGCCCTGGGATCATATTATACTGGGCCCTGTAATCCTGGGATCATATTATACTGGGCCCTATAGCCCTGGGATCATATTATACTGGGCCCTGTAATCCTGGGATCATATTATACTGGGCCCTATAGCCCTGGGATCATATTATACTGGGCCCTATAGCCCTGGGATCATATTATACTGGGCCCTATAGCCCTGGGATCATATTATACTGGGCCCTATAGCCCTGGGATCATATTATACTGGACCCTATAGCCCTGGGATCATATTATACTGGACCCTGTAATCCTGGGATCATATTATACTGGGCCCTATAGCCCTGGCATCATATTATACTGGGCCCTATAGCCCTGGGATCATATCATACTGGACCCTGTAGCCCTGGGATCATATTATACTTGTAACGGACCGTTTCAGCACACAAGGGGTTAAAACCGTTTAGGTGATCGTCCCCTTCCCAGAGATGCAGGCACAGCTACTGTAGAACACCAAACTCACGAACCGCAAATAAGGGAATGCTCCAAACTCCCGAACTGGAACCATACGAATAGCTGCTAGTAGACGAATAGGAAAAGCATCCAAGCGGCTTACACTCCTAGCAATCAGTCTCTATCAGCATACAGTAAATCCCCCCAAAGACGAGACAAGCCTGTCCTTTTAAAGCATGCTCCCATGCAAGGGAGGGATTTACAATCATTAGTACAGTAGCCAATCCCGTCCTGGTAACCTCCCACACATCTCCTCCCCTCAGCCAGCATCATAATCCCCTTATCCAGTACAGTAATTCCCGCCGTTTCTGGATGTACCCCTAAACGTAGGGGTACCCCTTTAAATCCTACACCCCCTGATAGCCCTGATCTGGGTGAACAACATATCCAAAAATCACCCAGATCAGACCAGGGGTTCGGGAAATCTATGGAGGGAATAAAATGACCGACCGCACTGACTGAGACAGCCGAATGCGGTTCCATGCGAATGGGCCCTGCGGTCGGTCCTGGAGTAAGGGAATAAACTGCACGAAAGCCTCTAGCTATAGAGGCTAGGGAGGGTTCGCCTGAATCCCCTCGTTCGGTTCTTTCTATCTACCGAACGAGGGGCCGTTCGTTAGTTAGGAACCGAACGGACCGGGCTTGTGGAGGTTTCAGCGGTGTTCGCCTAGTCGAGTGTCCGATTTGAGTTCCAGACACTCGACGGCAAAACACCGCTGTTCGGGAGTTTTAAAATGGCCACCGCCACGTGTTTGTTTTTCGAATGGCGGCCACCCCCGAGAACAAAGGACGGCTACTTACTAGTCAATTACCCGTTCGCAACAATGTTGCAATGGGTAATTGAGGACACACTTCACACAGGGGAGGTCTGACTGTTCGGTAGTTTCATTCGAACAAACTAAGGGAATGAAACCACCTAACATTCAGACAAATCCAATACATCAAATACATAGATTTTGCCATTTTCACACAAATGCATAGAAGTACATAAATTGCTCAGGACAGCACAGGGCCATCCGCTACACTGCTCCCCCTTGCCCACAAGCCAGCATACACAGTCTGATCCCACACGGATCGGCTTGGGGATGTCCGGGGAGGCTCACGGATCATTTCTCTAGGTCAGTTTGTCTTGACAACCCGTCAGCGTTTCCATTCTGTTTACCCGGGTGGTACTGGATATTAAAGTCAAAGGGCTGCAGCGCCAAACTCCAGCGCAGCAGCCTGGCATTGTCCCCAGCCACCCGGTTTAGCCAGAGTAACGGGTTGTGATCCGTGAGCAGGGAAAAAGCTTGCTCATACAAATACGGCTGTAATTTCTTCAGGGCCCACACCACAGCCAGGCATTCCTTCTTGATGGCGGCGTAGCTTACTTCTCGCGGTAACAGCTTCCGGCTGATGTAAGCCACGGGATGTTCTCCGCCATCGGCCCCGACTTGGCTCAGTACTGCTCCCAATCCAAACATAGAAGCGTCTGTGTGAACAAGAAAACGTTTAGTTGGATTGGGAGCTGCCAAGACAGGGGCATTGGTCAATGCATCTTTCAACAGCTGAAATGCCTGCTCACACTCCGGGGTCCAGGTCACTTGGCGGGGAAGGTTCTTATGGGTTAAGTCAGTGAGGGGTTTGGCCAGGGCACTATAGTTCGGGACAAATTTCCGGTAGTACCCGGCCGTTCCTAGGAACGCTAATACCTGAGTAATCCTGAGATCATATTATACTGGGCCCTATAGCCCTGGCATCATATTATACTACAGCCTCTACCTTGGCTTGTTCTGGCTTCTGCTTGCCACATCCTACCCGATGGCCGAGGTATTGTACTTCGGCCATGCCGATGCTGCATTTGGCTGGTTTCAGCGTTAAACCAGCGGCCCTAATCCTGTCTAGGACCGCTCCTATATGGGTCAAGTGCTCCTGCC